CTTTAAATCGCATGTGTTCAAACAGAATGTGCTCTTTGAGTAGTAATTTATAGTGTTTTCTAGTAAATCTTGGATAACTTAGATTTAAATTTGTGATAAAAGATTATTTGATTTCCAGTTATATTTCCTCTAAATCCTGTCTCCCTTATTTCTGTCTTGTCCTTTGTATTGTAATATATTTGCCTGAGTAGATCCTTGAATTTTTAGCTTTAAATCGTGTCATAAATCTGGTGTCTATTTCTATGCATGCGTCTTGTCAGCCTAGCAACTTAAGGAACTATCATAGAAAGGCAAATTTTCCAGTAACTGAGCATACCTTTGTATCTTCCTAATGCATGGAAGAGTATAGTATGTCACACATAAGTGTAATGTTGTCAATATATTGTAATGAATAACTGATGTTTCATTGGAAATGTTTAAACTGACCTGCCACATCACAAGTTACTGTTCTCTTGGCAATCAGCCATCAATGGAACATGGGGACAGATGTCAGTGCTTGCTATACTCAGAGCTTTTGCCTCTAACCATTGCATGCGTGTGTATAATAGATGGAAAATTTAGGATTTGAAAGGAGGGAATGATTGAAGCAGAGCCATAGGCTTTAGATTGAGGAAAAACAGTTTTTTCTGATATGGAAGGCTAGAACTTAGTAAGCACTGCTCTCTGCCGGGTGCCAAACTCAGTACTTGGCCATTTTTTTGCTATATTTAGTCCACAAGCACATCCCCGTGAGAAACCAGTTGCTGTGCTTGCCCCCAATTACAGATGTGGAAACTGAAATTTAGATCACATGATGTGCAGAGCAGGTATAAGTTAAGTCTGTTTTGATTCCAAAACCAGGACCATTTCTCCCTTGGGCCTGGATTTTTCAAGATGTTCTGATCTGCTGACAGTCTCCCTCTCAGAGGAAACCTTGGAAGTAAAAGCGGTGCCCTGGAAGCAGTGGGGATTGCGGAGTTTTCTTTCTGTCAGTCTAGAAGCTCCCCCTAATGCCTGCTGCCTCTGGCCCTGTGCCATGCCTGCTTCATGCTTCCTGCCTTCCTTGTGGTGCACTTGTGGGGCAGTGCTGCTGCAGGTGCCAAGTGGTGATTGTCCTCAGCAACTGTGTGTGAGCTTCTCTATGTGGCTGAGCAGAAGGGTAATTTAGTAAGGACACAGGTACAGATCCTCACTCTGTTGCTGATTAGTTCCTGGCCTGGGAGCTGTTCCTTGGCCCAGTGGAACCATGGCTTGCTCTCTTGTAAGTGAGGTAGTGATCCACACAGTAGTGCTGTTTGGAATGGCCCTGATCTGTGCCCGCCCAAAGTGAGATGCCGCGCTTTCACCAGCAGCTGGCCTCAGAGCTTACCTCTGTTCAGTGGACTTCAGTGTGGTTTGGATATTTTGGTTTTGGCAGTAAGAATTTCTCAGCAAAGGAAGCAGTCTGTTGACTTACACTCAGACACTGTAGCCTCATCTTGTTCACTAGTCATCTCTCCTCAGCATGCAGCCTGGTGACTTAGAGGAGACTTGCTCTGGGCTGGCTATGAAAATTAGCCTAGCAATGAGTCTAAGGACAGCATATATGGACCAGACAAAGACTGGTATGGGATGGTTACTTTTACACTTTAGTTTTACCTGGCAGAGCGAGGTGACTTCTTGGCACTTGTAGAAAGGTCTGAGACAAGGCAGTGGGTCCTAGCCTTGGGTTTCCTCTCACAAGAGAACAGAGGCAGAATGAAGGCCTGGTTCAATGAGCCTAGAACGCTCTGGGCAGAGCGGGGCCAATGTAGGGGAGTCTTGGTGCAAGAATCTCTTTTTGTGGGTGGAGCATAAGTATAGTGCCTTACCTCTTCTTTTTTCTTTTCTGTTTTAACAAATGATTGTTTTAACCTGAAATTTTAAATGATGCCTGGTAAACAACATGGTCTTAAGTTTGATTTTTGGGTCCCTCCCAAAAATATTTTTGAACTTTTATGATTCTTGTTAGTAATTTCAAGCATGATGGCCTTCTTTAGAGATGAGATTGCTGGACGTTAAACACGGGGCCTTGAACATACTAAGTAAGCATGCTCTGATTACCCCAGCCCACAGCAGTCTTGTTTTGTTACTACAATTAGAAATGAGAGTCAGACAAGGTGGTATATGCCTGTAATCCCAGCACTCAGGAGGCTGATACAGGAGGACTGCTGGAGTTTGAAGCCAGCCTGGACTACAGTGTGAGTTCATGGCCAGCCAGAACTGTATAATGAAACCTTATCTCAAAAAAGAGAGAGAAAGATACAGAATTTGTCTGTTTATCTGTTAAGATTATATCATATGTTATATATCCTAATTTAAGATTGTATCCTAAGTTAACATTGTATCCTATGTGATTTTAGACTTGCAGCCTCTAGAACTGTCAGAAATAATTATGTGTTGTTTATTAATACCCAGCCTATGACTATGGTAGTTTTTTTTTTTTTTTTTATAGTAGCTGGAAGTGACTGGGAGAGGGAGACTGCTAACAACATAAAGCCTCCTCATCTAGATGAGCATGAAACTAGATTCCACAGTGCTTAAAAATAGATAATACTAAGACATGCTTACAGAGATGACTACTCACAAACAGGTGCCTATTTCACTCGATCACAGATGGGTGGAGAATCTGCCAAAACTGCCAAAATAAGTGAGCATGATACTTAGAGACAGATTAACATCCATAGTAACAGGGACTGGCGGTAAAACGAAGCAGGTATGACAAAAAAACAACTTGGAATCTAGTAAATGAAACAGACCTTAGCTAGAATGATACAGTCTGTTGTGGACATGGTCAAAGAGGGAGCATTGGCAGTAAGTCACCAAAGGTGAGCCAGATTGCAGCAAGAGAGACAAAATGAGAAAAATTCAAGGCCCTCAATTCAGGCAGGCCTAGAGGCAGGTCCACCTATTGATGTGATAGGTGTGTGAATAGAATTGATTTGATTTTTGACTTAGAGTAATTTGAGTCTACTTTTCTTCTACCTGCCCCAGAATCTTTCTGATAAAAGATTCCATTAGAGAGAGGGCACACTCTGTCAGGAATGGTACTTATTAGGTGACCTGACAGTGAGCTCTTGCTTATCACCATGGCCGATGCCAGTTAGTACCTCGATCAGGGCCGTGTTGGCATCTACAGGAGAAATCTGTACCACAGGGAAGAGCTCACACTTAGTAGAGAACATGACAGAAGTCTAGATGGCCGGCTGGCCAATACCCTTTCCCCTACTGCTTCGCATCCACAAGTCCCATTCCTGAAGGTTGGCTTTGGGCCTATGAAGATGTCTCAACACTGGCTGGAACTCTGTCAGGTTTTAAGACACATTTGGATGATTTTTACCTGGTTGGCAGGCAGGAGCAAGCAGACCCTATGTTAGTGGCCTTGGTGAGGGGGCATTTGAGTGTGAGGAGACAATCCTGCATGGCAGGTCCAGGGAGCAGAGCCTGTGTTGTTGGCCTGGGGAAAGGACCTTACCTTGCTGGCCTGGGGGAAGAAGGGGCCTTCAGTTGGTCTGGATATGAGAATCATGTGTTGCTAGCTGGGAAAGAGAAGGCTCTGCTGGCCTGGGGAGAAGAATCTCTATGTTGTTATCTGGGGAGCCACCATGGTTTTGGCCTGGTGAAGGGTCCTGTGTTTTTGGCTGGAGGAGTCCGCTATGCTGAGCTGGGTGGGGGAGGCAAATAGAAGTCCTAATTCAAATACCATGGACTCCTGGCCTTATTCCTGATATTTCTTGAATAGATAATTTCCTCATTTGCTGTTATCCTTTGAGCCATTTCCAGAAGCTTTGAAGAGTGGTTTTCATCATTTCAGGTCTCCCTGGGGAGCAGGCTGCAAAGTTCCTGCCAGGCTAAGTTCGGCTCACCCACAGTCATGATTTTTTGGAGAAGAAAAACTAGTTTAAAAGAAATTTTGCTCTTTTCCAGTGCTTTCTGTGGCAGTGTCATCTCTATTTCTCTCTCACTTTACTTGCCCAATCTCACTGTGGCTCACATAGGCACATGAGTCGTGGTCTGGTTAAAGCAGACTTCATGGGCCTGTGCTTTCTGTGATGAGATTGACTGTGAGCTGCAAACAATTGCTACCAGTGCCCTGTAAGAGCATCGCCTGTTTTAAACTAGCTTTCTAGAATTATCTAGCTCAAGCACATGTTCTTTTGAAGGACTGATTATTTATCCGGTAGATCTTTATTCTTGTCTTTTAAAGGAAAAGCACCTAAAGCCAGAAACACTGGCAGATGATTTTACTTATTTCAGAGTTGCTTTGCTCCAAATTCACATTGCTCAATTCAGTTCATTTGTGGTATCTGTGAACCGGTGTCATAACACAAGGTTTAGCACAGAACAGTGCTGCAGGACTCCTGCAGCTTCTCTCTGCCTTTTGCAAGATCTCCTACACTGCTGCATGCATAGTGTTTTGAGAATGCCTTTACAGAGAATACAAAAGGCTTCCTAGTCCTAGCAGTAAGCCCATTCTTCATAGTTGACTTTGCTCCAATGATTCAGGGAGACTATAGGGACTAAGGGAAAATCAGAATAGAGAGGGGACTAGAATTGGATAGTGACCTTCTAGGCCTTTTTTCCTTGATTTCTCTAAGGGCTCTAGGTCTCAGATCTGTGACTGACTTACAAATGTCTTCAGATGCTTCATTTTGGGATGCCAATTGAGGAAAATGCTTTTATTTCCTGAAGTCTAAAGAGGTGGACCTGGACACTCATTATCCCCTGCTGTGCTTTCAGCAGTGCCAGGGTGGAGGGAAGTCAGATGGCCTGGGTTAGACTCTCATTCCATTGAGAATACCTATGTCACCTTACGGCAAATGGTTGATCTCCATTTCTCTGGAGGAGAATGGGAATCCTTTGCCATGTATCTTGAGATTGGGTTGCCTGTGTGTGTGGACTATGAGGCCAATGGAAGTCTTGCTTAAGAGGTTTTTTTTTTTTTTTTTTTTTAATTTATTCATGTATGTGTTGATTTATTCCTTTACTTTGCTGCTTTGCAGGAGTTTTCAACGCTTGCAAAAGAGCTCAACATTTGCAGGGAACAGCTGCTTGAGAGGGAAAAAGAAATTGCTGAACTGAAAGCAGAAAGGAACAACATGAGGGTCAGTGGAGCTCTGGTTTAAGTGTTTTGTGCTTTTTCCTTCTGTAGAGTGTGTTCAGTATTAAATGTTGCTTAAAATTTGTGATAGAAGGCAAAGCATGGTGGCATATGCCTTCAATCCCAACATTCTGAGCCAGGAATGTCTTGAGTTAGAGGTCAGCCTGGGCTAGCTAGTAAGTCCTCAAGCCAGCCTAGACTACAAAATGAGACCTTCTTGTTAATAAAAGAAATTAGTGATGGAAATTCATGACATTCGAATACAATTGAGGGAAATTTACCTAACTCTACTGAATTGTAGGAATTTGAACTTGTTTGACCATGAGATTATGAAGGATTTGAATGTGAAATTGAAGGTGCTCTTTACACGCCCCCTTTGGCCTGGTTTCAGCTGCTCCTGGAACATCTGGAGTTCCTTGTCTTCAGGCATGAATGCTCTCTCGAAACGACTGTGATGAAGCGGCAGGCGCGGTGTCCTGCAGATGTGTCCACAGAGATGGAAGTGCGAAAAGCACTGACATCCTTATTTGACCACCACAAGACCCTGGACGAAAAGGTACATGAGCTACACTAGTGGTTCTGGGTTCTTACACTTGCTGGGTTCATGGCAGACTTTGCATGTATTTGTTTACCTTTAAGGTTTGCTAAGTTTTTGAGTTCTTGTAAACAGACTTTCTGTATTAAAAGGCAATGTTCTGCATAATCAACAAACACTAACTGGAATGTGAGTCTTCAATTGATTATTTCTGAATATTGACTGCCCATTAAGAACTGGATAGTGTTCATTTATTTAGGAACAAGAGTTTCCCGGCCTTAATATTTAAAGCCATTAACAAGGACATTTTCTTGACAGTACTAGCAATGAAAGACATTGAAAGTACTTTATTATATGCCTTTCATCAATATCAGGATAACTATATGGAAAGTGTGCGTATGCATATAAAAACTCAACTCTTTTCAGGTGCGAGAGCAATTACGTGTAGCACTGCAAAGGTGCAGCTTGTTAGAAGAGGAACTGGGCGCCACGCACAAGGAGGTAATTGTGGGACATCATCCTAGCCCTGAAAAGGGAAAATTATTTTATTTTAATCTCTTAAAAAACAGTGTGAAGCCTGTAATACTTTTGGATTAGATTTTTATTTCAGATTGCAAGAATCTCTAAATTTGTTGTCAAGCAGTCAGTACATTCTGTTTCTAGTAATCTGGTTCTGCTATGGATGGTCAGCTTTGGCATGTACTGTCTTTTTTATACTATGTTCAGCACTGTAGAATTATGTTTTTCCAAATGGAATTTTGCTGTCTTTACTCATTACTCTTCCATAAGTTATTATAGTCTCATACTCAGTTTTCGATTGTAGCTAATGACTCTTAAAAAACAGAATAATCAGAAAAAATCACCAAGAGATGGAGTGCTTGACCATGAACAAGAAGAAACACCAAGCACTAATGGAAAGGTAAGTCCTTGAGATCTCTCTTTGTTCTGTTGCTGATTTCTTATATTTTGTGGTTCGTGTGTGATGCTATTTGGATGCTGTTGCTGGAATGGCCTGCTTCCAGCTAAAGTGATTGTTGAGAGTCCTATCATCCAACAGATGGCATAAATCCATTTTGATAGTCCCTATGTTCAAAAGTATTTTATTTGGTAGTACACTAAGGTTATTTAAGAGTGTCCATTTTACCCATCAGAGATCTTCTGCTGGCTCCTTAAGCCATGAGGAAGACCTTGCCAAAATAATTGTGCTCCAAGAAGTCATACACAAACATTCAAAAGAGCAGAGTCAGATGAAGGAGCTCCTGGCTGCACTTTCCAGCCATGTGTCAGAGCTGCAAGAAAATCTTGACACAGCAAGAAAGGATCTCATCAAGTCTGAAGAGATGAACAAGAAATTGGAACGAGATGTTCATGAAATAAGTGATAAAAATTACAGGGTTGTCATAATGTTGAGTGCTTGGAGTGTTAAGGATAATGATTCCTTTTTTTTTTTTTTTTTGTCCTTTCCTTGGTCGGTTATTTTCAGCATTTGCACTGTTGAATGAGTATAAATATGAATAATACAACACAGTATTGCTGTCAGATCGTGACATACTTCCTCCCCCTGGTTGAGAAATTTCTCCTTTTCTGTGGTCTTTTAAAAAGGTAGAGGAGAACTTGCCCAGCTTTTCCCACTTAGTTTATGGGAGTTTGTCCTCCACCCTCATGTGGATTCTTCATCTTTGCAGCTTCTTGGCTGTCATCATGTGTTCTTTATGTTCAGCTTCTCAAGTACATGCACTCCTTAAACAAGGATTTTCAGTACTAGTTGTGCTTTGAGTTCGCTAAAGAGATGTGAGTATTCTCTGGGACTGTGGCAAAGGGAGCATTATCAGGTGTCTTCTAATTTTTTCATATTTTTCCTCAGGCACAGAGGTATGGTATTGAATTTTGGATGTTACATCAGCTCTAATGTGTGAATAGTTTTTGGGTAGTTTAGGCTTTGTGCTTATCTTGCCTATGAGATCTCATTTCATGTGAAATTGTATTTACAACATTCTGCTTTGCACCTGTACTTGTATCTTTGGTTTTATTTCTCTTGCTATACATTTTACTTTTTAGTGGCATTCTTAGCCAGAATATAATCAAATTAAGCAAGTCATTTTAGTGGAATGTTCAGTGTCAGCAGTCTGTTTTGTGACATTTGGATGTATTTATAATTTATACTGTTAACTAACTGAGCAATATTTTTCTTTTCTTTTCCTGGTTTTTTTTTTTTTTTTTTTTTTTTGGACATATTGGGTTTGAACCTAGGGTTTCTCACATACTAGGCAAGCACCAAACCACTCACCAAACCATTTTCTTTTCTTTTTTTCTTTTCTTTTGGTACTATGAATTGAACTCATGATGTTCTGCTTGACAGGCAAGTGCTATGCCATGGAGCTATATCCCTGACCCTTTTTCTTCTTTTCAAACTTATTTTATTTATTAGTGTTTGGTTTTTTGAAAAAAGGATCTTGTGGTGTAATTCAAGTTGGCCTTGAACTCATGGCAGTTCTCCTGCCTCAGCCTCTCACATGCTGGGATTACAGACATGTGGCACCAAGCCTGGCATTGTATTTTCATCTTTTTGACAATCTCATTTATCAGTTGTGTCCTTCTTTCCAGTATTTGTAAAAGAAGTGCAGCAACACATCTGTAATCCCAGCTACTTGTGGACTGAAGTGGGAGGTTTGCCAGTTTAAGGTCAGCCTGGGCAATTTAGGAAGACACTGACTCAAAAAGAGCTGAGTATCCCAAGCATAGTGGGTGAACCCTATCTTTCTAGCTACCCAGGAGACTGAGGCAGACAATCATAAGTTCAAGGGTAGGCTGCCCAATTTAGCAAGACCTTGTTTTGAAATTAAAAGGAAAAAAATATGGGACCATAGCTCAGTGTTAGAGTACCCCTGCCTTCTATTCCCAGTACCACACACAACCACGGAGGAAAACTCTTTCTTCCTGGATCTCTAATTCAGCATGCTGGCTGACGGTCTGTGTGCTTCCATTGTTGGTTTTGATTTCTTATGCCACCCTTGTGTTTGTTTTATTTTAACCATCTCCAGATTCAATTCTAATCCAGGCCTCAGGTCCCTATCAATTTGTAGTTTGTCCATGAAGCTCCCCTCTCAGCCCCTCCCCATTCTGTGATGGCTCTGCACAGCTAACCAGGCAAGCACGTGTGAGTCTGAGCTGGATTATGACTGATTAGTGGGGCTTGGGGTTTTTGTCATTAAAAATGTATTTTGCTCAGTAGTGATCAATTATATTTAATATATAATTTGTCAATGTGGTTACAAGCAAGATATAATTGGTTGAATGTTTTTCCTTAGATTGTACAGGATCTGCATGATTCATGAGTGAAGTATTTCCTAGGTTAAAAAATAATCTGGGCTCACTGCAGTGGCACATGCCTGTAATGCCAGCTACTAGGGAAGCTAAGAAGGAGGATTTTAAGTCTGAGGCCAGCATGAGAAGTTTAGCAATGTGCTATGTCAAAATAAAAATATAAACGTGGCTGGCAGTGTAGTTTGTTGAGTGGCCCAGCTGGATTCAACCCTGCATACTGCAGGAGCAAGGGGAGGGGCCACTGCTGAGTGTAAAATTTATGGGAACTTTATACAGACAATACGAATCAGATTTTATTGATTATAATCAGAATTCTAAATCTCATCAACTTATAGGGCATATGCTATAGTCTTTAATGGACTACTTTTTAATTAAAATGCCTCCTATCTAGTACTGTGCTAGCTTTTATTGTTACGTATTTTAGGATGCCTAGCTTTCTTTCTTTTTTTTTTTTTTTTTTTTTCCATTCCATTCCACTCCTTTGTATTCCACAGTATCTCGGATGGAATCTAGGCCTGTGCACTGAGATACACACATGACCCTTTTTTTTTTTTTCAGTATTATTTTTTATTGTGAGACAGGATCGTGCTAAATCACCAAGATGAGCTCAAACTTGGCAGCCTTCCTGCCTCAGCCTACCAGAGTGCTGTGATTTCATGTGTATGCCACTGCACGAGGGATAAATGATATATTTTAGGAAGTTGTAAATCATATTCTAGGTGAAGATTTTACTGCATTGCACAAAAAATGATTAACTAAAAATAAGTTTGTTCAGTTTTTTGTGTTTTTCTGAGACAGGATGACACCATGCAGTTCAGGCTGGCTTTGAACTCATGTAGTGCAGGTTGGCAGTTCTCCAGGCTTAGCTTCACAAATGCGGGGATTACAAGTCTGCACCACCATGCCTGGCTCTTCAGTTTTATAATAGATGTTGCTGTAACATCCTTGTCATCATGGGAATATTAGAGAGTAGGTGGTTATCAGGGCCCTTTGTTCTATACAGTGTCTTGCTTTAAATCGCATGTGTTCAAATAGAATGTGCTCTTTGAGTAGTAATTTATAGTGTTTTCTAATAAATCTTGGATAACTTAGATTTAAATTTGTGATAAAAGATTATTTGATTTCCAGTTATATTTTCTCTAAATCCTGTCTCTCTTATTTCTGTCTTGTCCTTCATATTGTAATATATTTGCCTGAGTAGATCCTTGAATTTTTAGCTTTAAATCGTGTCATAAATCTGGTGTCTATTTCTTTGCATGCATCTTGTTAGCCTAGCAACTTAAGGAAACATCATAGAAAGGTAAATTTTCCAGTAAGTGAGCATAGCTTTGTATCTCCCTAATGCATGGAAGAGTATAGTATGTCACACATAAGTGTAATGTTGTCAATATATTGCAATGAAGAAGTGATGTTTCATTGGAAATGTTTAAACTGACCTGCCACATCACAAGTTACTGTTCTCTTGGCAATCAGCCATCCATGGAACATGGGGACAGATGTCAGTGTTTGCTTCACTCAGTGCTTTTGCCTCTAACCATTGCATGCATGTGTGTAATAGACATAGAATTTAGGATTTGAAAGGACGGAATGATTGAAGCAGAGCCATAGGCTTTAGATTGAGGAAAACTAGTTTTTTCTGATATGGAAGGCTAGAACTTAGTAAGCACTGCTCTCTGCCAGGTGCCAAACTCAGTGCTTGGGCATTTTTTTGCTATATTTAGTCCACAAACATATCCCTGTGAGAAACCAGTTGCTGTGCTTGCCCCCAATTACAGATGTGGAAACTGAAATTTAGATCACATGATGTGCAGAGCAGGTAGGAGTTAAGTGTGTTTTGATTTCAAAACCAGGACCATTTCTCCCTTGGGCCTAGATTTGTCAAGATGCTCTGATCTGCTGGGAGTCTCCCTCTCAGAGTAAAACTTGAAAGTAAAAGCAGTACCCTGGGAGCAGTGGGAATTGTGGGGTTTTCTTTCTGTCCATCTAGAAGCTCCCCCTAATGCCTGCTGCCTCTGGCCCTGTGCCATGCCCGCTTCATGCTTCCTGCCTTCCTGGTGGTACACTTGTGGGGCAGTGCTGCTGCAGGTGCCAAGTGGTGATTGTCCTCAGCAGCTGTGTGTGAGCTTCTCTATGTGGCTGAGCAGAAGGGAAATTTACTAAGGACACGGGTACAGATCCTCACTCTGTTGCTGATTAGTTCCTGGCCTGGGAGCTGTTCCTTGGCCCAGTGGAACCATGGCTTGCTCTCTTGTAAGTGAGGTAGTGATCCACACAGTAGTGCTGCTTGGAATGGCCCTGATCTGTGCCTGCCCAAAGTGAGATGCTGCGCTTTCACCAGCAGCCGGCCTCAGAGCTTACCTCTGTTCAGTGGACTTCAGTGTGGTTTGGATATTTTGGTTTTGGCAGTAAGAATTTCTCAGCAAAGGAAGCAGTCTGTTGACTTAGACTCAGACACTGTGGCCTCCTCTTGTTCACTAGTCATCTCTCCTCAGCATGCAGCCTGGTGACTTTGAGAAGATTTGCTCTGGGCTGGCTGTGAAGATTAGCCTAGCAGTGAGTCTAAGGACAGCAAATATGGGCCAGACAAAGAGCGATATGGGATGGTTACTTCTTCATTTCAGTTTTACTGGGCAGACTAAGGTGACTTCTTGGCACTTGTAGACATGTCTGAGACAAGGCAGTGGGCCCTAGCCTTGTGCTTTCCTCCCACAAGAGAACAGAGGCAGAATGAAGACCTGGTTCAGTGAGCCTGGAAGGCTCTGGGCAGAGCAGGGGCTAGTGTAGGGGAGTCTTGGTGCAAGAATCTCTTTTTGTGGGTGGAGCATACGTATAGTGCCTTACCTCTTCTTTTTTCTTTTCTATTTTAACAAATGATTATTTTAACATGAAATTTAAATGATACCTGGCAAACAATGTCCTAAGTTTGATTTCTTTTTCCCTCCCAAAAAGTTTTTTTGAACTTTTGTGATTCATGTTGTTGATTTCAAGCTTGATGGACTTTTTTAGAGATGAGATTGCTGGCGGTTAAACACAGGGCCTCAAACAAGCTTAAGTAAGTGAGCTCTGGTTACCCCAGCCCCCGACAGTCTTTTGTTTTGTTACTACAATTAGAAATGAGAGCCAGATAAGGTGATATATGCCTGTAATCCCAGCACTCAGGAGGCTGATAAGGGAGGACTGCTGGAGTTTGAAGCCAGCCTGGGCTATCATGTGAGTTCATGGCCAGCCAGAACTGTATAATGAAACCTTATCTCAAAAAAAAGAGAGAAAGATACAGAATTTATCTGTTTATCTGTTAAGATTATATCCTAGCGGGCTGGAAGTTTAGCTCAGCAGCATAAACGCCTGCCTTGTAAGCAGGCAGTCGTGAGTTCGATCCCCAGCACCAATAAAAAGGAAAAAGACAAAAAAATATTATATCCTAAATGCTCTCAGCTCACACTAGTCTAGGTGGTCTTCAGTGAGCTGCTACAGGACTATAATGGAATCTGTATCCTTTATACCATTGTACAGATAAATAAATTAACTATTCACCACTTGTTGTTCACCATGAATGTTTCATGAAATCTAGTCCTGCTTCAAAACCCGAAAATAACAACCTTCTAAACAGGGCCTAACCAGACCCTGAAAGAGTTCACATATGCACTATTTCCACAGTCCTGCCTTCCTCAACACATAGGCATACTCATGGGCCATCCCCTAAAAGAAATCCCAGGGTCTGCGTGACCCTCTTTTAATAATATACCCAGGATTATTATTATTTTTTTATTTAAGGAGAAAAAGAAAAAAAAAAAAACAGAAAAAGGATACAAGTGATACAGAATTTCAAAAAAAATAAATAAACAGTAGGAAGTCACTAGTTAATAGATTACATACTGTCATCTTAGAAATGGTTGTTCAGATTACAAAATTAAAGCATATAAAGTAGACATTCAAACTGTGAGACTACAAACAATTCTGTTCAATGATCCCACAAAAACTTAGCAATATGGTTATCTATCTTATACACTTAAATATACATGCAATTATATCCTTTAGAGCACTTTCTTTTCCTCTCTTTTTTACTATGACAATTATACATTTTGGGTTTTATTACTCCCACAGTTCTTATTACTTTCTATTTGAAGAGAATAAAATCCAATGTGACATAACAAAACAGAGTCAGTCAAATCAAAAGAATGGATATAGTACATAATATAAAAACGGAAGACAAAGTGATGATCATTGGTTACCATAATGCCTCTTGCTATCTTAAAAAGAATTGCCTATATCATCAGTTATAATAAAACTGAAAACATTAAAGAACAAAACCAATAAAAGCAAAACATTGGAGACATTGCAGGACTTCAAAAAAAGATAATATGCAAATCCAAAACCCAGGATTGTTTTATGAAGCCACATGGAAGTAGGGTTTTAGGCTGCATGCAAATGCTTCTGCTCATAACATTTGGTCCACACAGTGAGAAACAGAAGCCACACACATGCATATTTGGGTCTTCGCTCATGCTGTCCTTGTCTTGTTTCTTGCTAGAGGTAAAAGTATTGACAGTTTCCCTGAGGCTTCGGCCCCCACTAGTGTTCCTTTGAGTGACATCAGTAACTGAAGATATGTGTCACAGGCTCTTCAGTAATGAGAGTAACTTTGTTAACCTGAAGTGATAAAGTGCAGTGAACAGGCTTCATTTAGGACTTCACTGTCCCTCAGTAACTATCCTCAGAGGTACCTGAGGTTGTACGGAGAACAGAATCTTGAAGGGGGGGTGATGCTGTCCCTGGGCTTCCCGGGGCTTCCATGAAGGAAGGCTATAGGTCAACCTGCCCTACTCTCTCTCTGCTATGTGGTCCATTTCCCCCAGACAAACAGGCCTTCAGGTTGGCATTCAATTAAAATGAGACTTCTCAGGACAGGTAAAAAGTTTAGTTAATAGGTTTTGAGTCAGTTTATGTTATTTAAAGCCTATGTGATGTGTTTTCTTATAATGTACTGTTAGCTGATGTTGTTTTTTCACTCCTCAGTTGCTAGCTTGCAGAGAAGAAGAACGAGATGACAAGACAACGATAAAATGTGAAACTTCCCCTCTCTCCTCTCCGAAGTCCCTTCAGCTAGACAGGCTGCACACAGGGGCATTGCAAATAGTCAGCCACGAGGACATCAGGGACATGCAAAAGTAAGGAGCAGGTCTCGTAGGCCACCAGACCCCTGAGAAACCTGCTTGTCTTAGTTTTTAAGAACATCTATTAATCTTTTCCTGTGAGAAAAACCAAGTTTTTAAAGAATTCTCAGCAAGCTCATTTGGTTGTGATTATTTAAACGTTAGACCTAGAATGTGTTCTCCTGTTCTGCGGCTGTAGTGACATCCAGTGGAAAAGGCCATCTGTTTGGGCAAAGTTTAGAAAGAATAGGAATTATTTGAAATTAGCACTTGAGAGAAAAGCTCCATTTCTTCAGATCCCACACACTCACTTCTTTTAAGAACTTTCTTTCTATTCCTGGTGAAGAATTTGCCACACGGATGTGGCAGGTTCTGGATCGTGCTATTCTGTGGACAATCGGTGCCTCTCAGGTACCCTCCCACACTCTGGGTCTTCTAAGCTCTTGAGAGTCCCACATTGTCCCTATCCCTTTAGGAAGCATGTTCCATCAGGAGGCCATGAAGGCTTGGTTACTTATGCACTGTTGTTTTCCACACTTCCTCTTAGAAGCTTTTGTTCCATACCAGGCAGTAGGATCAAGCAGGCACATTGGTCTCCACAGTGTCCTGAGAGATAGTACAGCTCTCACTTTGCAGGAGAGCAGGATCCAAGGAACCAGCCTGCAGGAGCTGCTGAGAGGGAAGGTGGAATTCCAGTTCTTCTGGCTTCTGAGACCTTGTTCTCTTTCCTGAGGGCTGAGTGTAAACCTCACTGGCTGAGCAAGGCCCCTGCAGAGGGTGTTCCCTTAGATGTCCAAACCAGGCAGGCTAGAGTACAGGCCTCCTCTGAGCAGGGAGCAACATCAGAATCTTGGCTTTCCAGACATAGGTCTGTGGAAGCATTACTGGGACCCTGCATTGCTATGCATAGTGTGCTGTGGGTAAGAGACTGGAAAGGATCTTCAGGGAGTTGAAGTAGGAATATTAAAAATGCAGACTGTTTTGGTACATGTGAGTGGACTGTGGAGTTCTAAAGAGGGCATGTGGTAAAAGTCCATTTTCTTTCCTTCAAGATCAAAAAGTGCCCAGGATGGTCCTGTGAGCAATCCCAGTAGCAGTGACAGCAGGCAGGACTCGCCCCACAAAGCCCCAAAGAAGAAGGGCATCAAGTCCTCCATTGGTCGTTTGTTTGGCAAAAAGGAAAAGGGTCGGCCTGGACAAACTGGCAAAGAATCACCAGGACAAGGTGGGTGGGGTTTCGGCAGCTGTCCTAACTGCTGGGAATGGGAGAACGTGAACTTTGTCCTGTGTGCCTGCCGCAGGTGCGCAGTGCCCACATGGAGTCATGGCTGAGGGTTCTCCAGAAAAGCCCAGTCTGCTTTCTCAGTCTGCCCATGTGTGAACCAAAGCAGAGCAGTGGACGTTCATTTGGCGTGAATGAATAACCCTCATAAGTGCTACTTTACACTCTTGAACATTTGTATGTGTTTGCTTGGAAGCTTACCCTTCAGAAATTATTTAGCTCTCTAGCTGCAGAACCTTCAACCTATTTGTGAAACATATAACTTTGCCATGTTAATTTACTGTAAATTTGGGGGCTTTTCTGATTTTTTAATAGCTGTTCTTTCTGAAACAGAAACCTCATCTCAGGATGCGTTCCGACTTAGCAAATTGGGAGGAAAGGCTGAAAAAAATCGAAAATTTCAAAAAAAGTAAGCTTTTTGTTATTTCTCCATCTCATGAAACAGGTTTCTGAGTTAACAGTAATTGTTAGCTGATTTTAAGTGTAATTTCTAGCTATGTAAATACATTGTCTTTTGAAAGATGAACCTAAAGCAGTGATAGAGCTTTCAGTGATACAAAGAGCTTGCTGCAGCATGCACGCCATAGGTTTGCCTCCATTGACCTAAAGCCTGTTTTAAGCCATCATATCTGGAGAACAGAGGACATTTGGAAATTTTGACTGAACTCACACATGTATTCTCAGTCTACCTTTTCAGAGTGTTCTCCCAGGATAATAGAATGGGTAATAGTTAGGCTTGGCCATTTGAGCTCTGGCCGCTGAATCCTGGTTAATTCTCTAGTTAGCTGTGTGTCTCTGACAAAGTTACTTAGCTTGTGCTTCAGTTTTCTCAACTGTCAAATGACTGCTACAGTTGTTCATACATCATGTGGTTTTTTTTCAGTTCAATAGAATTATATATATGCATATATATGTTTTAAAACATGGACACAGGTCCTAAATATGTTACAATTACAGTGAGGATTCTGAGACCTTGTTCTCTTTCCTGTTGACTGAGTGGAACCCTCACTGGCTGAGCAAGGCCCCTGCAGAGGGTGTTCCCTTATGTGTCCAAACGAGGCAGGCTAGAGTACAGGCCTGCTCTGAGCAGGGAGCACATCAGAATCTTGGCTTTCCAGACACAGGTCTGTGGAAGCATTACTGGGACCCTGCATCACAATGCATATTGTACTGTGTGTAAGAGACTCGAAATGTTTTTTAGGAAGTTGAAGGTAGGAATATTAAAAATGCAGACTGTTCTTGTACGTGTGAATGGACTGTGGATCTGGGAAGAGGGTGGTAAAAATCCATTTTATTTCTTTGAAGCTCAACAGGCTCCCAGGAAGGTCCTGTGAACAATCCCAGTACCAGTGACAGCAGGCAGGACGCGCTCCACAAAGCCCCAAAGAAGAAGAGCATCAAGTCCTCCACTGGTGGTTTGTTTGGCAAAAAGAAAAAGGGTCCGCCTGGACAAACTGGCAAAGAATCACCAAGACAAGGTGGGCCAGTTTTAGGCAGCTGTCCTAACTGCTGGGATTGGGAGAGCATGAGCTTTTTCCTATGTACCTGCCACAGGTGTCCAGTGCCCACAAGGAATCATGGCTGAGCATTCTCCAGACAGCCCAGTCTGCCCACATGTGAACCAGAGCAGAGCAGTGGACATTCATTTGGCGTGAATGAATAACCCTCTTATATGCTAATATATAAGCTTGAACATTTATATGTGTTTGCTCGGAAGCTTACCCTTCAGAAATGATTCAGCTCTCTACCTGCAGAATCTTCTTCCTATTTGTGAAACATATAACTTTGCCATGTTAATTTACTCTAAATTTGGTGAATTTTCTTCTTTTTTGTAGCTGTTGTTTCTGAAACAGAAAACTCATCTCAGGATGCCTTCCAACTTAGCAAATTGGGAGGAAAGGATGAAAAAAATCATCAACTTCAAAAACAGTAAGCTTTTTGTTATTTCTCCATCTCATGAAACATTTTTCTGAGTTAACAGTCATTCTTAGCTGATTTTAAGTGTAATTTCTAGCTATGTAAATACATTGTCTTTTGAAAGATGAACCTAAAGCAGTGATACAGCTTTCAGTGATACAAAGAGCTTGCTGCAGCATGTACGCCATAGGTTTGCCTCTACTGACCTAAAGCCTGTTTTAAGCCATCATGTCTGGAGAACAGAGGACATTAGGAAGTCTTGACTGAATTCACACATGTATTCTCAGTCTACCTTTTCAGAGTGTTCTCCCAGGATAATAGAATGGGTAATAGTTAGGCTTGGCCATTTGAGCTCTGGCCGCTGAATCCTGGTTAATTCTCTAGTTAGCTGTGTGTCTCTGACAAAGTTACTTATCCTGTGCTTCAGTTTTCTCAACTGTCAAATGGCAGTTACAGTTGTTCATACATCATGTGGCTGTTTTTCAGTTCAATAGAATTATATATGTGCATGTATATGTTTTATAACATGGACACAATTCCTAAATAAGTTACAATTACAGTCAGGCTTCTGAGACCTTGTTTTCTTTCCTGTTGACTGAGTGCATCCCTCAGTGCCTGAGCAAGGCCCCTGGAGAGGGTGTTCCCTTATGTGTCCAAACAAGGCAGGCTAGAGTATAGGCCTGCTCTGAGCAGGGAGCACATCAGAATCTTGGCTTTCCAGATACAGGTCTGTGGAAGCATTACTGGGACCCTGCATCACAATGCATATTGTACTGTGTGTAAGAGACTCGAAACTTTTTTTAGGAAGTTGAAGGTAGGAATATTAAAAATGCAGACTGTTCTTGTACATGTGAATGCACTGTGGATCTGGGAAGAGGGTGGTAAAAATCCATTTTATTTCTTTGAAGCTCAACAGGCTCCCAGGAAGGTCCTGTGAACAATCCCAGTACCAGTGACAGCAGGCAGGACGCGCTCCACAAAGCCCCAAAGAAGAAGAGCATCAAGTCCTCCACTGGTCGTTTGTTTGGCAAAAAGAAAAAGGTTCTGCCTGGACAAACTGGCAAAGAATCACCAAGAAAAGGTGGGCCGGTTTTAGGCAGCTGTCCTAACTGCTGGGATTGGGAGAGCCTGAGATTTTTCCTATGTGCCTGCTGCAGGTGTCCAGTGCCCACGAGGAGTCATGGCTGAGCGTTCTTCTGACAGCCCAGTTTGCCCACATGTGAAACAAAGCAGAGCAGTGGAAATTCTTTTGGCTTGAATGAATAACCCTCTTATATGCTAATTTATACTCTTGAACATTTATATGTGTTTGCTCGGAAACTTACCCTTCAGAAATGATTCAGCTCTCTACCTGCAGAATCTTCTTCCTATTTGTGAAACATATAACTTTGCCATGTTAATGTACTCTAAATTTGGGGGCTTTTCTTCTTTTTTGTAGCTGTTGTTTCTGAAACACCAAACACATCTCAGGATGCCTTCCAACTTAGCAAACTGGGAGAAAAGGATGAAAAAAATCATCAACTTCAAAAACAGTAAGCTTTTTGTTATTTCTCCATCTCATGAAACAGTTTTCTGAGTTAACAGTCATTCTTAGCTGATTGTAAGTGTAATTTCTAGCTATGTAAATACATTGTCTTTTGAAAGATGAATCTAAACCAGTGATAGAGCTTTCAGTGATACAAAGAGCTTGCTGCAGCATGCACGCCATAGGTTTGCCCCCACTGACCTAAAGGCTGTTTTAAGCCATCATGTCTGGAGAACCAAGGACATTTGGAAATTTTGACTTAACTCACACATTTATTCTCAGTCTCCCTTTGCAGACTTGTCTCCCTAGTGGACAGAGTGGTTAAGAGTTAGGCTTAGACATTTGAGCTCTGGCCGCTGAATCCTGGTTAATTCTCTAGTTAGCTGTGTGTCTCTGACAAAGTTACTTATCCTGTGCTTCAGTTTTCTCAACTGTCAAATGGCAGTTACAGTTGTTCATACATCATGTGGCTGTTTTTCAGTTCAATAGAATTATATATGTGCATGTATATGTTTTATAACATGGACACAGGTCCTAAATATGTTACAATTACAGTGAGGATTCTGAGACCTTGTTCTCTTTCCTGTTGACTGAGTGCATCCCTCAGTGCCTGAGCAAGGCCCCTGCAGAGGGTGTTCCCTTATGTGTCCAAACAAGGCAGGCTAGAGTATAGGCCTGCTCTGAGCAGGGAGCACATCAGAATCTTGGCTTTCCAGATACAGGTCTGTGGAAGCATTACTGGGACCCTGCATCACAATGCATATTGTACTGTGTGTAAGAGACTCGAAACTTTTTTTAGGAAGTTGAAGGTAGGAATATTAAAAATGCAGACTGTTCTTGTACGTGTGAATGCACTGTGGATCTGGGAAGAGGGTGGTAAAAATCCATTTTATTTCTTTGAAGCTCAACAGGCTCCCAGGAAGGTCCTGTGAACAATCCCAGTACCAGTGACAGCAGGCAGGACGCGCTCCACAAAGCCCCAAAGAAGAAGAGCATCAAGTCCTCCACTGGTCGTTTGTTTGGCAAAAAGAAAAAGGTTCTGCCTGGACAAACTGGCAAAGAATCACCAAGAAAAGGTGGGCCAGTTTTAGGCAGCTGTCCTAACTGCTGGGATTGGGAGAGCCTGAGATTTTTCCTATGTGCCTGCTGCAGGTGTCCAGTGCCCACGAGGAGTCATGGCTGAGCGTTCTTCTGACAGCCCAGTTTGCCCACATGTGAAACAAAGCAGAGCAGTGGAAATTCTTTTGGCTTGAATGAATAACCCTCTTATATGCTAATTTATACTCTTGAACATTTATATGTGTTTGCTCGGAAACTTACCCTTCAGAAATGATTCAGCTCTCTACCTGCAGAATCTTCTTCCTATTTGTGAAACATATAACTTTGCCATGTTAATTTACTCTAAATTTGGGGGCTTTTCTTCTCTTTTGTAGCTGTTGTTTCTGAAACACCAAACACATCTCAGGATGCCTTCCAACTTAGCAAACTGGGAGGAAAGGATGAAAAAAATCATCAACTTCAAAAACAGTAAGCTTTTTGTTATTTCTCCATCTCATGAAACAGTTTTCTGAGTTAACAGTCATTCTTAGCTGATTGTAAGTGTAATTTCTAGCTATGTAAATACATTGTCTTTTGAAAGATGAATCTAAACCAGTGATAGAGCTTTCAGTGATACAAAGAGCTTGCTGCAGCATGCACGCCATAGGTTTGCCCCCACTGACCTAAAGGCTGTTTTAAGCCATCATGTCTGGAGAACCAAGGACATTTGGAAATTTTGACTTAACTCACACATTTATTCTCAGTCTCCCTTTGCAGACTTGTCTCCCTAGTGGACAGAGTGGTTAAGAGTTAGGCTTAGACATTTGAGCTCTGGCCGCTGAATCCTGGTTAATTCTCTAGTTAGCTGTGTGTCTCTGACAAAGTTACTTATCCTGTGCTTCAGTTTTCTCAACTGTCAAATGGCAGTTACAGTTGTTCATACATCATGTGGCTGTTTTTCAGTTCAATAGAATTATATATGTGCATGTATATGTTTTATAACATGGACACAATTCCTAAATAAGTTACAATTACAGTCAGGCTTCTGAGACCTTGTTTTCTTTCCTGTTGACTGAGTGCATCCCTCAGTGCCTGAGCAAGGCCCCTGCAGAGGGTGTTCCCTTATGTGTCCAAACGAGGCAGGCTAGAGTACAGGCCTGCTCTGAGCAGGGAGCACATCAGAATCTTGGCTTTCCAGACACAGGTCTGTGGAAGCATTACTGGGACCCTGCATCACAATGCATATTGTACTGTGTGTAAGAGACTCGAAACGTTTTTTAGGAAGTTGAAGGTAGGAATATTAAAAATGCAGACTGTTCTTGTACCTGTGAATGGACTGTGGATCTGGGAAGAGGGTGGTAAAAATCCATTTTATTTCTTTGAAGCTCAACAGGCTCCCAGGAAGGTCCTGTGAACAATCCCAGTACCAGTGACAGCAGGCAGGACGCGCTCCACAAAGCCCCAAAGAAGAAGAGCATCAAGTCCTCCACTGGTCGTTTGTTTGGCAAAAAGAAAAAGGTTCTGCCTGGACAAACTGGCAAAGAATCACCAAGACAAGGTGGGCCGGTTTTAGGCAGCTGTCCTAACTGCTGGGTTTGGGAGAGCGTGAGATTTTTCCTATGTGCCTGCCGCAGGTTTCCAGTGCCCACGAGGAGTCATGGCTGAGCGTTCTTCTGACAGCCCAGTTTGCCCACGTGTGAAACAAAGCAGAGCAGTGGAAATTCATTTGGCGTGAATGAATAACCCTCTTATGTGCTAATTTATACGCTTGAACATTTATATGTGTTTGCTCGGAAGCTTACCCTTCAGAAATGATTCAGCTCTCTACCTGCAGAATCTTCTTCCTATTTGTGAAACATATAACTTTGCCATGTTAATTTACTCTAAATTTGGGGGCTTTTCTTCTCTTTTGTAGCCGTTGTTTCTGAAACGGAAAACTCATCTCAGGATGCCTTCCAACTTAGCAAATTGGGAGGAAAGGATGAAAAAAATCATCAACTTCAAAAAAAGTAAGCTTTTTGTTATTTCTCCATCTCATGAAACAGTTTTCTGAGTTAACCATCATTCTTAGCTGATTGTAAGTGTAATTTCTAGCTATTGTAAATACATTGTCTTTTGAAAGATGAACCTAAAGCAGTGATAGAGCTTTCAGTGGTACAAAGAGCTTGCTGCAACATGCATGCAATAGGTTTGCCTCCATTGACCTAAAGCCTGTTTTAAGCCATCATGTCTGGAGAACAGAGGACATTTGGAAACTTTGACTGAACTCACATGTGTATTCTCAATCTTCCTTTGCAGAGTTGTCTCTCTAGATGATAGAATGGGTAATAGTTAGGCTTGGCCATTTGAGCTTTGGCCGCTGAATCCTGGTTAATTCTCTAGTTAGCTGTCTGACAAAGTTATTTAGCTTAGGCTTCAGTTTTCTCAACTGTCAAATGACTGTTACAGTTGTTCATGCATCGTGTGGCTTTTTCTCAGTTTGATAGAATTATATATGTGCATGTATATGTTTTAAAACATGGACACAAGTCCTAAATAAGCTATAATTAAGGTCACTGTGGTGACTTCTATTGTTTACACAAGTGGTCCTCCAGAAGCATTTACCGTGATATAATTTTACATTTTATCTGAGATTGGATCTCTACTTTACAGTGTATTATTGAACTATAATCCTCTACTAAATCTTAAGGGGCTGAGGAGTGGAGTATAAGTGAGAGCGTACTGGCTTGACATACCATCCCTAGGCCCACATAAAGATAGATTCTGAAAATAATATATACTGTTCCGAATGATTTTGCATAGGGGAGCACAGGCACCAACATATCAGGGAAGTATGTACACTTCTCTGATGTAGGATTGGTTGTGTAAGCTGATCACACCCAAAACTAGAGTTATAAGTGAACTAGATAGGTTGAGACATTTTCCTAGTGAGATGATTAATAAAATATCAATCAAAAAGCTTTCTGCAACAAAATCAGACAGTATGTAATGTCTAAGAGGTACAATTTGAACTTGACAGTAGGGAAAGTTTGAAAGCCTAAGGTAAGATGGGCACACTGTTCTTGAGAAAAGGTGAAAGTTGGTGGGTTCTTGGATAAATTTGTATATGGGAAACATCAGGTGTCCACTTCTCAGTGAAGCCAGTACTGTGTGGAACTCAGAGTGCAAAGGCCCTGACACTAGCGTTGCACTCGAATCCCTAGGAACCCTTTCTGCTGGAAAGTTATGAAATCTCACTCATTTTAGTTGTCTTCTCTGAATTCATGACTGCCTTTTTTTTTTAAACTTCTATTGGTATGTGTTTGCAGTACATAATAATCATGTTGGTTCTTGGGAGTTGATACATGTCCATGACACATTTCTATTCTTTATTTTCCACCATCCTTGTATTTTGCCAGAATCCCATTCATGCATTTCTCTTATAAACCCTTGTCATGTATACAGATTAAAAATAAGACTATTAAAAAGAAATATATATATATATATATATATATATATATATAAAATATAAGATATATATATCAATATATATATCAATATATATATCAATATATATATATATAAAAATATATATATATATATATATATCAAACATACCAGACTATAAGCCAAAACACATATAAAAGATGGAACACAATTGTACTAAGTTGAAGTATTCCTTTAGATATATTTTCCATGCTGAGTTACAATAACTTTTTTCTTCTATTGTCTGTCTTTTATTTCATAGCTAACTTATATATGAAGTTTTTCATATTATAATGAGTCTTTTGTTTTTTATTTTATTCATTTATTTTTTGAGACAAGAATCACACTTTGTAATTCAGGCTGGACTGAACTCACAGCAGCCCTCCTGATTTAGCTGCCCAAGTGGTGGGATTACAGGCATGTGCCACCGCACTTGACCATAGTAACTGTTTTAAGCAGCTCAACAGTGATGACATGCCATTGCAGGTGAAATTCTGTTATGGAAACATTCTATACAAATACTCAATCTTTGGTGCTCTGTAAATAGAATTTTATAGTACCATTTAACCACAAAATCTGAACTGTGTAAAAGTCTTTTATAATAATTTAAGCAATGAGCAGTTGGCTTTGTGGAGCTTAATATTAAAGCTAGTCATTTTCCCTCTCGAAACCATGCTAAAGAAATAGTGTTGCCTAGATTTTGCCAGTGTCTTTTATTTCACGTGCTCATTTCAATGTAATAAAAACAACAGCAGCACAGCTTGATCATTCACCCCATTGCCTTCTGAAGTTTATGTTTCATGGAAGAGAAGAAATAATTTTCCTAATATGTTTGGCTATTTTGCTGGGGATGTGGCTCGGTAGTGTAGTACTCTTAGCACGCATTAAGGCCTTAGGTTCAATCCCCAGTACCACAATAAAAGCAAAAAACAGAAAACCAAAATGTTTCCCTGTTGTAAAAATTGACTTTCTAACTCTCAAGAAGTGTGTGTGCACCCTCAGGACAGGCTTTGAATTATTTGCCCAAACACATGATTAAATTGCACACCAGGCATGCAAGTTTACAGGTTTGTGTGCGCGCACGCGCATGTGTGTGTGTGTGTGTGTGTGTGTGTGTGTGTGTGTGTGTGTGGTGGTAGGGAGGGAGATTTCTCAGTAGCAAGGAGATTCAAGTTTATGCTGCTTACTCCAAACATCTGTTGTGGCTGTTTCAAGGTGTCTAAGAATGGGTCTTTGCTCTGTACTTTATAGTTCTATGTGGGATGCATATGTGATTTCTCAACCATAGTAGAAAGTTCATAGGGAAAATTCTAAAGTAGTCATCTGACTATGGTGGGCAGTTTTGTGATATCTGTCAGATAACCTGAATTGTAATTGATTTGAAGAAAAAAGTATTTTGTGAATACAGGGTACAGTTTAATACTTTGAGCATTATTGTTTTGTTTTGTTTTGTTTTGTTTGTTTGTTGTTTTTGTTTTTGTTTTTCTGAGACAGGTCTCACTATGCAGTTCAGGCTGGCTTTGAGCTCACTTTGTAGCTCAGGCTGACCTCAAACTCACAATGATCCTCCTGCCTCAGCCTCTCAAGTGCTGGAATTACAGGCATGCACAACCACATCCAGCTACTTTGAGCATTCTTGATGTAATAAAAAACTGTTCTGTGAATACAGAGTACAGTTCAACACTTTGGTACTTTCTCAGAAATACAGTACTTCTTGTGATGAGCCCTAACTTGGCTGTAGGTCATGCTCCTTGCCGCTGAACCACTAGCCTATCACATTGACTGAAGGAGGGTTCCCAGGACTCAGTGCACATGTTGACCAGCTGAACTCATGCTCTCTGAGAATTACTGGAAGAATTTGATGCTCTGCTGACACTTGAGGTGCTCAGTAGTCAATGCAACTATCAGCATGACTCAGACTGGAGTCCGTTCATCAGCTCATAGAATGCTGTGTGAAGTTTCAAAACATGGATCTCCAACTCACCTTTGTCTTTGTAGTGCTCTCCTTCCGGTTGCGTGGCATT